ACCAACAAAAAAAAAAAAAAAAAAAAAAAAAAAAAAAAAAAAAAATTGGATTGCGTAAGTACCCTGTGATTTTGTAATTATTCATCTAAACTTAAAATTTAATATTTCTTTCTTTTAGAAAAAATTGACATGCTCCATACCACTGTTTACACAGACCATCCAATGAGTTTCCTGGGCTCTTCCACAGCTTTAGAGGTACATTACTAGAGCCCTAGCCATTATCACTTTTCTCTATATTTTTAATTTGGGGAATATATTTCTGCTGGTATTAATGGTTGAATATACAAAATGTGGATCATCTGTACTTCTCTGTTTATTTATTTGTTACTAGACCCAACCACAGTCTTCTTTCCTTGCTTTCACCTTTCTTTGCTTATGAAATATTTTATATATAAGTATACACTTTGCATTAATATGTGAGAAATCACAAATCTGTTTTGTACTTTTTATGTTATTAGACACTATTTGTCAAACTTTTGCTAATATATTAAATAAGTTTAATCTTATTAGAAATGTTTTAAAAAATATGAACAAGAAAGCAACCTTATAGCTTCCTTGCTTTCCTGAAGCTCTTCTACTGAGTACATTCACTTCAGACTATATATTCTGGGTATTAACCCATATGTCTATATACTGAAAATATTTCATTCTAGCTACTTGCCTTTCAATTTACTTCATGGATTTAGTTTTTCAGTGTGCCTTTAGTTACACAGATTTAATTTTGACATGTTCAAGTTTGCGAATCTTTCTTTTATGACTTTTGTGTTTTAGATACATTTCTACTTCAATATTACACATATTTTATACTTTTTAAATTAGTGTTTGTTGGTCTAGAATTTGCGTTTATAAATGGTGCTAGGTTAAGATTAAACTTTATTTTTTATTGTAAGAATTGCAAATAAATATTTAATTTCTCATGCTTTTGGGGCACATATTAAGATGATCATATGGTTTTCCTTCTTTAATCCATACTATGACATGTCATGCAAATAAGGCAAGTAGTCAAGACCTGCACATATGAGACCTGTTGAAACAGTATTTCATTTACTGGAGAAAGCTCACAGGGACTGGGATCAGTAGCTCGTTGAGTGGATGTCTGTGACATCATCCCACTGTGAAACAAACACAGCATGGTAATTTTTAAAGGCCATATGACAAGGTCCATTAGAGGAGACTTGACTGTTGGCCTGCATAGCTTTTAATTAATAATTAGAGAAATACCACCTCATCCCCTGGCATGATCAGGCACGAGAATACAATGTGACGTGGAATAACTTTTATTCCAGTGCTACTCTGAAAGCAGGGATATTCAAGGTTGATGGCATGTTGTAGCCCAACTGTATCCAGGCCTTATGGTTACAGCTTTAAGTTAGTGCAGGAAAAGAGTGGGATTGACCATATCAATACATATGATTAGGCTAGCACTGGCTCCTTCTTTGGCATGATAAGGGTTGGAGGGATTTATGGTTATAGCTTTAAGATAGCGCAGGAAAAGAGTAGGATTGACCATATCAATAAACATGATTAGGCTAACACTGGCTCCTTCTCTGGCATGATAAGGGTTGGAGGTGGCACTGGGGTCCAAACACTGTGTTGACCAAAATTGATTGCTTTAGGGTCTGGGCCATAGTCAATTTCTATGGAGCTTTGTAGGACATTTTATCTTTGGGAGGCTAGCTTGCAGGGGGCCATTATTGGACTAATTAATTTTTACTCTTATTACCTATTTGGCCATAGTGAATTTTTCTCTTAATATGCTAACAGATTTGATTTACTATTTTGGTTAAGATTTTAAAAATCTACTTTCCTAAATGAGATTAACATAACCTTTTATTTTCTTATGCTCTCCTTATCTGGCTTTTACACTTTTTTATTGAGTTATACATATACATTATATCCTCTAGTAACTTTAAAATTTTTGTTTCTATAGTTATATTTCTAATATGATTTATTTTTGTTTTCTCTTTTTGAAGAACAAGCTTTTGCTTTTGTTGATTGTTATAAGCTGAATGTTTGAGTCTCCCCTAAATTCAAATGTTGAAAGTCTGACCCCCATTATGGATAAATTTGCAGTGGGACCCCTAAGAAAGTAATTAGAAATAAATGAGTTCATAAAGGTGGTATCCTGATCTGGTAGGATTAATGCCTTTATAAGAAAAGACACCAGAAAGCTCACTTCCTCTTTTCTTGCAATATACACCAAAGAAAAGCCTTGTGAGGATCTAGCAATGAGGTATCAGTCCACAAGCCAGAAAGCGAGCCCTCACCAGAATCCAAATCAGCCAGAACCTTTACCTTTAACTTGTAGCTCCTAGAACTCTAAGAAAATTAACTTATATTAAGTTACCTAGTCTGTGACATTTTGTTATGGCTGCCCAATAGTAGACTAATAGATTCTTTGCATTTGTTTTTTCCCTGCTTGTTTCCTAGTTTATTCTCTTCTCTTATACACCATTTTGTAAAGCTCAGGATGCATCCTATGAAAAATTCTTAGCTAAGGTTTGAAGCTTATTAATTTAATATTTATTTTGATTATTTTGATAGCCTAGCCATTTAAACAAGTTTGATGGTCAAATTAAAAATATCCATATTACATTGATTCTTTTACAAATAAATAGCCTTTTATATTTTTATGAATTAAAGTTATATGATTATAGATATTCTAAAATGCTCTACTGTTTATTAAGCCTGTGTTTTATAGGATACAAGTTTTCTTTTGTTGGATTTGTTTCTTCTCTTTTATTGTTGGCTCTTCTTTTTGATTTTTATGATTGGGTGATCAACTGTGTATTTTACATTCATGGTTAGTCTGTTTATGAGTTCTCTGCTTACTTTAGCTTTTCACCAAAAAGGAGAAGGAGAATTGGTGGAACAGACACCTGGATAGGGTGAGCCAATAGCTTCTTCGAGTAGTACAAACTCCCTGTTTCTCCTGAATATAGGTAGACTACCGAAGGTCCTATTTTACCCCTTTGACACACCATCAGCTCTCTCTGCTTTACCTGGCAACAGGCATCTCTGTTGCTTTGTACGGGCCAAAGAGAGATTACCCTATATCAATATTCAAACCAATCACTCTTGGTTTCCTAAGATTTCCTCCAATATTCACTATCTAAATAGTGAATATTGTAGGCTTAGCAAACCTTTGGACCACCTCCCATCTTTTTAGGAGTTTTCCTCTACGCATGTTCTACACATGTGTTTCTTCTCTTTTTTCCCGTCTGTCTTTTTTCATGGAAGGATTCCCCATTTCTAGAAACCCAAGAATACTACTTTTTTTTTTTTTTAAATGCATTTTTAGAAGATATGGAGATTTACTCTTCTGTAATTTCCTGGCACTTGGAGTGAGATGCGAAGGCTCTGGCAAGTATTTAGTCTATCTTAAACCAGCCTCCAAGACACCTACATTTTAAAAATTATTTTATTTTGATACAATTTCAGTGTTACAGAAAAGCTGCAAAAATAGTAGAAAGACTTCTCAGTTACTCTACATCCAGTTTTTTCAAGTGTTAACATTTTATTACATTGGCTTTATTTATCTTTATGTTTGTGTGTATATCTGTATACTCTATCTGAATCATTTAAGATGAATCATTCAAGAATAAGTTGTAGTGATATCATAAAAAATGGCAGCATAGAAAACTAAAAAAAAAAAAAAACTGTCTGTCCTCTATAACAGTGATTGAACTGGCAAAATCAGAATTGACTTTTTTTGGAACTCTGGAATGTAATTTTGGAATCTAACCAACAACTTAGTAACACCCACAGGAGTGTGTAATAAAGAAGGAAGCTGCTAAATTTCAGTAAAAGAGTTTTATGGCATTTTAACTTACCCTCTTTATTTTCAGGGTTCTACAGAGAAACAGAATCAAGAAAACTTATATGTATAGAGAGATATTTATTTCAAGGAATTTGCTGATGTCATTTTAGAGGCTTGGCAAATCCAAAATATGTAATAAATAAGGAGTTTGAATCAGTAATCAACATTTCTCATTAAACAGAAGTCCAAGACCTGATAACTTCACTGCTGAATACTGCCAAATATTTAAAGATGAATTAATACCAATCCTTCTTAAACCCTTCTAATAAATTAAAAAGAAGGACTTCTAAACTCATATTACAAGGTTACCATCACCCTTATACCACAACCAGACGACAAGGACATTACAAGAAAAGAAAATTACAGATCAGCATCCCTAATGGACATAGATTGAAACATCCTCAGCAAAATGCTAGCAAACCAAATTAAACAGCACATTAAAAGGATCATACACTATGATCAAATGAGATTTATCTTTGGGATGCAGTGATGGTTCAACATATGCAAATCAATAAGTACTATATACCACATTGACAGAATGAGGAAAAAGCATTACTGTATATGATCATCTCAACAGACGAAAACAGAATTTGACAAAATTTAACATCATTTAATGATAAAAAAAAAAACTGTTAAAAATAGATATAGAAGGAATGTACTTTAACACAACATAAGCCAGATATCACAGTAGTACAGCGAACAGAATACTCAATGGTTGATAAGTCTAACATTTTTCTCTAACGAGAAGCATACCACTTTCAGTCTCACCAATTGTATGCAACATACTGGAAGTTTTAGCCAGAGCAGTTAGGCAAGTAAAAGGAGTAAAAGGCATCCAAATAAAAAAGGAAGATATAAAATAATCTCTGCTACCAGATGACATGACATTATATATAGAAAACCCTAAAGACTCCATCATAAAACTGTTTGAATTAATAAATTCAGAAAAAATACAAGATATGAAATCAACATAAAAATTAGATATGTTTTTGTGCACCAACAAGAGCTATCAAAAAAGTAATTGAGAAGAAAATCCCATTTACAATAGCACCAAAAAGGGTAAGATACCTAGGAATAAACTTAACCATGGAGATGAGAGATCTGTATACTGAGAACTGTAAAACATTACTGAAAGAAATTGAAAAAGAAAACAAATAGGATGATATTTCATATTGTCAAAATATTCATATGATCCAGAGCAGTCTACAGATTCATTGCAATTTCTATCAAAATTCCAATAGCATTTGTCACAGAAATAGAGAGTACAATCCTAAAATTTTCTGGAACCATGAAAGACTCCAAATTTGTAACAGACGCAATCTTGATCAAGAAGAACAAAGCATCAAATTTCCTGATTTGAAATTATATTACAAAG